ACAGTTTAAGGGGATACCCATCGATAAAAACCTGGAAATAGAAACTCCTTTCATTAGACGTGTTTTTGGGGGTAAATTGACCCAAGTAAAGCGTCATCAAATTGCTGAAAAATTGGAAGAGAATGCTGTTAGGACCGACCAACAATCAATTGAGGATTTTTGTAGGTTGTACATTATTTTCGCTTGCAATACTTTCTTATTGCCAAAGGGCAACTTTCAACTGCCGAGGTACGTTTATCCACATGTTGACAAATTGGAGCGCGTAGGAGATTTTGCGTGGGGAAAGTTGGTGTATGATGTGCTCATTGAAAATATTGAGGCACACTTGGCTGGGGCAGGAGGGTATTTTGATGGTTGCACCATTGAGTTGTTGGCATGGGTGAGTGAAAGGATCACTTCTTTGGGATTCGCAATAAGCGTTTTCGAATACCCAAGATTTTTTCGATGGTCCGACTCTAAAATACCAGCCGATGAACGTCAGGCTAAACATCTTTTTAGAGAACTCACACCAGACAAGGTAACAATTTTGATTTATGCATTTTCATTGTGTTATTTGCTTACGTAATAAACTAATGTACAATTTGTCTATATGTTTATTAGGTGATATCATTCTCCGTGCACAAGAAGAGAGAAAGTTTTTGGTTTCACCTATGGAAGAACTATCTAGTCCTATTGTTGCAGCTTTGGAGGTCGGTGGAAAAGTCGAAGTCAGGCGTGTAAGTGAAGAGTACTATTAATGAGATGGACATGTCCCATTTGTAAACCAACGTGATGTTGTTTTATTACACTAATCATTGTTTATTTTATGTGAACTGCAGCAGCATTTTGGAAATGCACAACAAGTGAAGAGGAAGAATGTGAGATTGGAAGAGACAGAGGGGAAGAAGAAGAGAAGAAGAGCTCTTATTTTTGAAGAGGAAGAGGAGGAAGATGAAGAGGAAGAGGAGCAAGATGAAGGGAAAAAGGAAGTGGAGGAGGAAGATAAATTTTTTAATGCTGTTGAAGAACTTGGAGATGAGGAAAAAAAAGAGAAAGAAGGAGAACAACAAGAAGAAGAAGAAGAAGAAGAAACATTGATAAAAGTACTGAACATGGAGAGGGAGAGAAGGTCGAAGGCAAGAGAAGACAATCGAAGAAGAAAGAGTCGAGGACAAGAAAGCAGCGTAGTCTCTGCTAAACTGCCCATAACAGTAATTATGCCTTATAATTTAATAATAAGTATTATTATTATTATTGTTATTACTATTATCACTAATGATTCCTTTGGATATAGGTTGTTGTAGATAATTCTACGTACCAGGGGAGAACAGACTATGTATGTCGAGATGAGCTTACTGATGTAGAGAGGGCAGTACTGGATGGGTACCTCGTTGATGTTGATTTGAGGTAAAATCACTAACTTACTGAACATTTGGTATATAATAACTTCTTATGTAGTATCGGCGTACTAAACAAATAGTGCATGTTTATTTCTATTGTAGTGCAATTGTGATCGAAAGAGGCCCAAACGTATTGACTGGAAAG